GAGTTTTTATTGGGGGAGGGGGAAGAATTGTATAGAGGGGGTCATGCTGTCCTCTTTACACACACCTTGTACAGAGGGCACCATGGAGCAACTGGCCTGGCCTCATCCTTAAAGCTGTGCCCAGTCGGATAGCCACTGGCGGGAGGGGAGACTGATGGCTCCGTGCAGGTACCAACAGCAGGGTAGAGCGAAGCAGAGCTGTTCCCGGGCTCTGCTGATGAGCAGTGACCCCGTACAGCTGCAGGGTGACTCTGGAACGAGTGGCTGCACCAGGTAGTTTGAGTTTGCTACAGCCCTTGAGCCAACAGAGGTGGGTCCTGTAACTCACCGGAGGGTGTGGGTTGAGTCCACGTCGCTGGCCCAGTATGACAACAGAACTGAGTAAAGGGCAGGTGTGGGGCTGGCCCCTTGCTCTGTAAATCTGTTTGCTCTGATGTTCACTGAAGGTCTCTGGCTTCTTCTGCCTCAAAGAAGGGGTGTGAGGATAACTTCATAACCATCTCACGGCGCCAATCTGTCCACTGCCTTCTACTGCTGCTAGGCTTCTGGCCTTGGGGCCGGGCCCTGGGCTATCAGAGCACTTCTGACGCGCTGCCTGCCTGTGAGGCCGTGTTAAATGGCTGGATTAAGGCCGCATTTGCTCCTGCTAGCGAAGGCCGAGTCCCCTGCTCCAGGAAAATGAAAGCAATGGGGCCCTGCTGCTGTAGTTGTTGTGGGTCCTATCCCAGCCCTGGGCTCAGAGTAGCTCTTCCTATGAAGATACGCCCTCTCCTTTGTTACAAAGCTTTGGGCAGGGCCCAGCTCTGCTGAACCTCTGAGCTCTTGGTTCAGACTCTACGGCCCCAGGCAAATGTCTTCGCTGCAGCAGTTCCTCTCAGCACTGCCCTGAAGCTTTGCTTTGTCACCAGACCAGCGGAGGCTGGAGAAGAAATGAAAGGCTGGGCTGTGCCCCTGCCTGCAGCTCATCCATCAGGCCTCCCGCGGGGGCATGTTCTACGCTTTGGCACCCGCTGACCGCAGGTCTGCAAGGCTAGCTCCCCGGCTGTGTTTAACCAACAACCTCGTTGGCCCCGAGTCCCATGGGCCATTGCCGAGGTATCGAATATCCACCGTCCTGAAAGGTGCCGCAGCTGGGGAGAGGCTGGAATTTCCTGAGATGAAAGAGCCGAGTGGCAGGGAGGTGCCAAAGCCCAATCACCTAAACGCAGGGGAAAGGACTGAAATGGGTGAATGCCGCCGAGCTAGAGACAGAATCCTTCCTTTAGCCCTGCTCCAGCGCTGGACTTCCTCTGCAGGGAGCTGCATGTGGGTGTGTGACTAGGAATTAAGGGGGGAGGGATAGCTCAGTGGTTTGAGCATTGGCTGCTAAACCCAGGGTTGTGAGTTCAATCCTTGAGGGGGCCACTTAGGGATCTGGGGCAAACTCAGTACTTGGTCCTGCTAGTGAAGGCAGGGGGCTGGACTTGATGAGCTTTCAGGGTCCTTCCAGTTCTAGAAGATGGGAGTCTAATAATAAATAATTAGGGAGCTATACCTGTGTCCCACTGTTGAGCTCTCTCTCCTGCTTCCTTCCCACTTTCTGCTCACCGGGAGGTGGGAAATGGTGCTTTCAGTGACAATGCAGATCCTGAGAACCAGATCACCAACTTCCCAGCATTAACAGGCATGTAAGAAAGAACAAGCTTAAAAATACCCCCTGGCTAGTGTTGCTTTCAGGGACCAGCTGGGTGGGAACTATAGCTTATAAATAAACACAGAACCACACTGTTCAATGAGGACCCCGCTCAACTACTAAATGCACTTAAAGTTCAGCTGGTAAACAACTGCTTGGGGCGGGTGTTTCTACCCTGTCTAACCCAGCCCGGGGGGGTTACTCAAGCTGGGATAGAAGGGGGTAAATCCTCAGTGGTCTGTTTCTATAGCTCACTGCCCAGCTGGAGGAGTGAGCAGGTCAGGGCAGCCAAGGTCCCGCAGGAGGTGAAGAAATAATGGGACAGAACTCCCTTTTCATAAACGCAATGTGTCCTGAAGTCGGCGGGGTGAGGGCGGTAGGGAAACTCTGCCGCTTAGAAACCGCAGCAAGTCGCCGTTCGCTGGGGCCACTTCCAAGCTACGGGGGCCCGGCGGAGTTCTTCAGTTCGATCACAAAGCATATGCAATGACTTAGGGAAGAAGAAAATAGCACCTGGGTTCATCCTATGCAAGCCCAGTCCAACTCCATGAGATCTTTGCTTTTCGAGGAGAGGATCGTCTCCCCACCTTTCCCCAACACTGATTTCCAGGGGAAGGGGGTAGTCTGCTGGGGGGGCTGACAGTGGTGTTACACCTCTTGCACGGACTGTAGCGTTTACCAGGCTTTGTTCCCAGCACAATAGCCAGGCCGCAGCCCCTCTTGGCACTTTAGGGGGACGGAGATGGCGCTATGTTCTCTTGTCTGGCCGGAGCTGGGCTGTTGTCTAGATATAAACAAGGCAGAATCCCCAGGAGCAGGTTCAAATGGGTTTAAGTGATTGTGGGGGGCAGCGATGGTTCTCGGAAGAGGTGGCTCATCAGAAGAAAGGCCGGGAGGGAGCCGGTCGCCTGGTCACAAGAGAGAAGAAAACAAACAGCATTGAAAGGTTTCTCAGCTGAGAGTGTTGGTGGGGGCTGGCCGTGGGAAAGGAATCTCAGTCCCGGCTCCTGCCGGTCAGGACTGGGAGGCTGGTTACAGCTGCCTGGGGGAGACCCCCTAGCCTGGAGCAGCCCCCTTGGGGAAGTGGTGGAAGGCCCAGCGCCTTGAACGCAGCTACTGCTGTGGAGATCAGGCCAGGAAGGCTTGGCCCTGGGAGTGACCTACAGTGAAGGTTGAAGCTTTTTCTACCTAGAACTCTCTAAAGAGCTCTCAGCAGAGAGCAGCTGCCTGGTTCTAGCTTCACCCTACTGCCTGCTGGGGAGGAGTGGCTGGAGCACAGAGGATGGCTGGGGTCTAGGCGGTCATGTCTGTAAGTGAATCACTGTGACTCACTGCCTGACTCTGAAATGGGAGCAGCTGCCTTCCTAAGGCGCTTTGAGACCTGCAGCTGGGCTACGGCACAGCGTCCCTTATTGCAGTCAGGGCCAGGTGGTTAGTTTGGGCCCCAGTAGGGTTGAGGTGGTTGATTTAAATCACCACTTCCCCCTCAGCCTCGTAGGAATGCAGCCACCTTCCCTAGATTCCCTCTTCCTTTGGGCTGGGTGCCTTCGGTGACTCCTCAGCCAGGCTCTAGCCTGACCCACACTGGTCCAATGGGGATTTTCCTACCTAGGGCTGCGGTGAGTCTAGAGAACAGCGGCTGGGGCAATCGCCAACCAACGGCAGCGAGGCCTTGGGCCGGTTTGCAGAGACCAGCCAACTGGCTGGGGTCTGCTCTTAGCCACAGCTGCAAATGAACGAGTGCAGGATTTCAACCGTCACCCCAGGGAAGCGCAAGGACCCGCTTCCCACAAAGCAACTGCTAGATGGCACCGAGTGGTGCCCAGCTAGAACCGAGAGGGGTTTCTGCTGCTATTGCAGGAGGGCAGGGGCTAAAGATTCCTACCTAGCGCCCGACCTGTGCTCCCCTGGCAGAGCCAACGCCATGCAGGTCAGGCCACGCTCCCTGGGAGACAGCAACTTCCCTCCCAGGCAGGGCATCTAAAACGTCCGCACAGGGACGCAGCGCACTCCCACACTGGCTCTTCTCCCGAGTGGGTTGCGGCAGCTTAGCCTCGCTGCTTCCAGCGCCCACCCTGCTGAGCGGCAGCGGAGCAAACAGCATCAGCCGGCGGCACCCGGGGGGTTACAGCTTTAATCCACGGGCCTGCATCATTGTCTAGGGACCAGCCTGCTCGGTTCTGGCGCAACTCCCATTCTAGCTCCTGGTTCTTACACCTCCAGGCTGGTTTGCCTAAATCAAGGGCTGCTGCGCTTCCTTCCGCCTGCCTAGAGAGGACATTCCTTGGCAGCGGGGAAAGGACAGAGAAGCCTGACAAACAACAGCCTATTCTCCAGTATCCAAGATGTCCAGGTGGGACGATTAGCCCACCCTTGCTTAACCCAACCCCACTCCAGCCCAGCCCGAAGGCTGGCAGTGCAGGCAACGTGAACAGGAAAGGGGGGAGCAGTAGCTCACCCCAGCTCTTCGCTCCCCAAGGGTTCTGTTTCACTGACACTAGGCTATGCCCCCACCAGCGACTCCAACACTGGTGCCATCTCAGCAGCCCAGCAGCCTCTCCCTTGTGTTGCAGGGGTTGCTGTAGAAGGGCGTCAGGCCCAGGCTACGGCCCTCAGGCTGCCCTAGAACTCACCAGCAGCTCCCATGGAACTTAGCTGTGCCATGAAGAAAGTACAGAAAAGAGCAAGACTGAAACGCAACCGGGGTGGCTGCCAGATCTGGGGGGGCGGGGAGAAGAGAATAGTGCAGGGTGTTTGAGAGCTGGAGGCTTTGAAGAGATCCCTGACAAAAAGGAGGAAGAGGCTGGTTGATTTAAGAAGAAATGTCGCCATGCAGCCCAAACCTTGGTAAAAATATGGTTGAAACCACCTACAAGAGCACTGGCTGAGGGAAATTTTTCAAAGCTGCTTAAGGGAAAAGGGGCTCAGATACCAGGTGATGGGCAGCTGTGTACTCAGAAGAGATGTGGATGCTTGGTCTGTGTTTGTACACCACAACAGGGTCCTCCTCCAGGACCCGAGCTCCTCCACCACAACAAAAATGCTTCTTTCCCATGACACCGCAATGGGAACTGGGCCTGAACTGGGCCAGGGAGGCTTTTCAGAACAGCGGACCCTTGAGCCGGATTGTGTATTGCCATGGTCACAAGGGGAGCATCAGACTTTCAGCTGTAGGTTCTCCAAGCTCCTTGGCATCCCTGTGAGTGCTTTAACGAGATGCTGCAGGGCCCCTTCTCCCCCAGGCTCCCCCCTTCAGGAACAGACAGAAGGAGAGAAGAAGGGAGGAGGAGGCAGAAAACACACCACAAAGTGCCAGAGAGACTTGCCACCAGCTGATTTTTTTCCCTTTATTTTTTAGTTTATTAATAGGATACAGAGTGGAGGCACTTACACAATCAGCAAACTGAAGGAACAGGAGAGAAGTGGGCTGGGGTTTGTAATCAACACGAGATGAGAGAGAGGTTCCAGAGCCCACTCCACACACGAGAACATCAGGGAGAGCTAGCAGGAGGCGGAACAGAGGCAATTGGATTTTGTAAAAAACAGACAAGCCAAGGGACCTCAGGAAGCCCTGCGCAGGCAGCTCGAATGGCCCGAGCACCGATGGGAGCGGGCTAAGGCCTGCGCTGCACAACAGCTGCTGCTAGTGCAAGGAAATAGCCCTGCAGTCACTCAGAGCTTGTTACAGGGTTGAAGACAAGCAGCAGGCCGGGCTGCCCCAGGCTGGAGCCAAGTTTTAATGGCCAGCAACGTGCTAGGCAGGTTTTTGGTTTGCAAGTTGGCTTTGTGAAGCCGGCAGCATGGCTGCCTGGGCCGTGTCAGCTCACACTCCGCCCCCGTGCCGTCTCCACACAAGCGTTAATGCTTTTGGTTACCAGCGCCTGCGCTAAGGTTCAAATGCCAACGCCAGGAAGCACTTCGGGTCCCCTCCCACCACCCAGGAAGGGGAGAGGCCATGATGAAGACAGGCTCTTCGAAACAAAGGTTATTTAAGGCAGGCTGGTTCATGGATCTTTTCCATAGTTCTCTGGCTAGAGGATGTTGTTGGGCGAAGTATCAGCCCGACAGGTTCTCAGAGAGCAGAGGGTTGGGCTTGAACTGGATTTAAAAAAAACCCAAACACCTCAAGAATTTACAATTAATAGTCTTTAAAAATAGATATTTATATATATACACACACACGCACGCACACGCACGCACAGCCTCTGCTTCCGGCCCCAGGGCGGAGTGCTTTGCCAAGGTACCTGAGAAGGCACCGCTCTCAAGCGCAGCTCGAGGGAAGGGGAGGTGTGTGGAGAGGCACAGAACGGATACTACGCCAAAGCCTTCCACAGCAAGTTTCCAGTTGCTAAACGCACTCCCTCAGCTTCCTCCCCAGTGAAGAGTCACATGCCCACGGTGCAGTACAGCCTCTCTCTCCTGGGATAGATCCCTGTGGGCATCACAACCTCCCTTCCCCCATCCGACAGGAGTCACACGTTCTCCACCTGAGCTTCTAGACACCAGGGCCTGTTACAACCCGGGCTGCCCACCAGCAGGAGGGAAAACACATCTGGTCTTTCATGGACATTAGCCGTGGAGCTCCTGGGAGTTTTGCTCCTAGAAAGGCTCCAGACAGGCCTTTGTCCACACCTGCGCTAGCCCTCAAGCCTGCCCCCAGCTGTCCAAGCCCTGGCTTTCGGTTACGAGACCCTCTGCTGCTCCAGCTGGCCTAGGACCCTGACCAAGTGGAGAATGAGCAAAGCAACCAGCTGGTGACAGAAGTTGCTCCTGACACAGAACCCCCCCTGCTGCTTTGGCGCTCTGCAGGTCTCCCTTATGCCCATTTGGGGCCCCACCTGGCTTGGTATTTTGCTCATCCGATTGGGTTTGCGGAGGCTCATCAGCCCAGGGCCCTTCGGCTAAGTGCTTCTTTCACAGAACACAATCCAAGTTTGTCACTTCCTAGCTGAACGTAAGCCCCAACTGGGGGCCTGGGCACAGGGGCAGATATTGCGTGAGGAATACCTGAGGTTCACAATCAGCCAAGCACCTCCTGACAAGGGGCTAACCTGAAGAGTCTGCTCCCATTTGCAGTGAATTAGGATTGAATTAGCAAATCACTATCTGCAGTCCCATTATTTCTCATATATAAATCTTCCTCCACGCTATAGAACTGAAATATAGCCTATGATCAGATTAGCAATCAAGTTCAGGGAAGGGCCTCGGGGAGGGGGGAATCATTAAGTGTTTTATATAGAATATATTAACAATACAAAACAATTCTGGCTGGCTGAGGGGGGATGGAAGAGGAGCCGAGACAGAAATCGGATCAGCCTGAATAGCAGGACTTTAAGGAGATTCTGTGCAGAAAGAGAAATAGGACAGTCTGTTTCAACTGCTTCAGAACTCCCGTCTCTACGTCATACATTCAGACGATCCCAAGGCAAGAACCCAGGTGGGATTCATTGTGTGTTATTCAACAAAGTGCAAAAGTCAACCCCCCAAATAGAATCCTCTGCTTTTTATTACATCGTGGCGGTGGTGGGGGCGCTGAGTTGCGCTGGGGCATTCGTTCCGAGGGGGGTGGTTCTCCTGAACCAACCCCCCAGAGTGTAATGCCAGTTACCCACTTCCTAGCTGGGAAAGAGCAGAGAGCTGTGGGAGAGGGGAGGGCCATCAGGACAAGGAACACAGCGACTGCCCTTAACAGATGCCCCTGGTATTTACAAGGAAGGAGCCCGCTGCGCCCATCCCAGAGAAGGAGTCCACCAGGCTCACAGGAATTGGCCTTGGCTAGAACCACTCTGCAGAGCTGATCACAGTCGTAAGGTTTTTTTAAACAAGAAATTAGACATGGGAGACGAGGGGGGATTTCCCCTCTTCCTCCCCGCCCCAGACAGCAGGTGTGGGGCAGCCGCACCAGGCACACAGGAAACACTAGCAGCTCCCCAGGGGGCTAGTCTAGCAAGGAGGGCTCAGCCGGTCGGATAATGGTTGGCCGGTTCGGTGCTGCGGGGGGTCTTCTGCTGCAGAGAGAATGGGAACAGGTGAGAGCAGTAGTCACCGCCATGGGGCAGCTAACATCCTGGGCGCTGTGCGGACAGAGGGCTAGCGACAGCCCCGCCTGCCCTGGAGCCAGAGGGCTCCGTGATCCTGTGCCTGGAGCGGATTACTGAGGAGGGCTGGGTGCAGCGCTGCAGGCCTGCTGTCCTCTCCCAGCACCACCCGGCCAGGGCACAGGCTCAGTGACTTCGGAGCCTGCTGCATGCCTCCTCGATGGCCTTTGTGTTGCTGAGCTGGCTCCACTATCCAAAGGGGACCTGGCCTTTGTCGCCTGGTGCCACCCCAGGGCACTGGTCCAGAGGTTGTAAAGGGAGGGGAGGTGGCAAGGGGTCATACAGGGGCACAAGTGACCACAGCATGACACGGAGTCAGGGCAGCTCTCTCCGCTGCTGGGTCAGAGCAGACCTGACACCCAGCCCTTGGGAGCTGCCTCTGGACTGGGCGGGAAGGGGGAGCTAGTCACCTGCGGTGGCCTCAGGGCACAGCGCCTGCTGGGAGGGGAGCCAATCCTAACCCTGTCGCTCAGGGTTTGCCTGGAGACAAGGCAGGTACGAGGGACCTGCTGCCTCGGTCATTCCTGTAGGACACTGAAACGCCGTCTGTCCCATGGGAATCCGACCTCAGATACCTGCAGCACATCCACTCTAGGAGGGGAAGGGGGACAGACGGATGCACACAAAGGCACCCCTCTGCCGGTAATAAGGGACCGAATTCTGCCCTCAATCAAAGGAGAAATCGCTAAGACCTGGCCTGAGCTGCAAGGCTAGGATCCCAGCTCTGGGGTTTGAGACAAGCTCAGCACCTCCCACAAGCCATGTGACCCCAGTACGGCTCCAACTCTGGTAACAGAAGAGCCCTGCTACCACCCTCCGCGCTGGCATGTCTCAAACCACCCAAGGCGGACTGGAGCCCCAGCACTGAGCCAATGGCTGGAGACATGCCAGGAGGTCCAGGGATCTCTTACCTGGGCACGCCCGGGGGAATGCCAGGCGGAATGCGTGCCGGCCGTGATGGAATCTGAGGAGGGGCTGAGAAGGGATCGTTATTAGCAGCAAATACGTTCTGAGGTCCAGGACGCGAGGGGATGGGGGGAGCCACAAAGGAAGAGAGACTCCCTGCAGGGGCAGGGATCAAAGGGGGGCCTGGAGTTGGGCCCCTCACAGCTGGGGGCCTGCCTGGCGGCAGCACGGTGGAGGTAGGTCTGCGCTGGGGCGTCGGGCTGCAGGGGAAAGGAAGTTCAGCAGAATGAGTGTCTCCATCCCTAGCGACGGAGTTAGGTGCTTATCTGTCCCTCTTCCCCACCCGACCGTTTCCAGCACCCCCCAGGCAGGAGGGGGTCTCCCGTCCCTTCGGCACAGGGCAGCCGAAGTCACTGGCCCAAGGTTGTCTAGGGGAGTCTGTGGAAGAGCCCGGAACAGAGCCCAGGTCTCCAGCTTGCCAGGGCTTTACCCACTAGGCCATCTTCCCTCGACCCCATTCCCACCTCAAATAGCGCCTTGCCCCTCCCCTCCTTCCAGTGCCCCCATCCTCACTCAGAAGCAGCGTGGCAAGAGTCTCCCATGCCACCCACTCCCTGGTTACCTGTACCTGCTCCCACTCTGCAGCCAGGCGTCATCCACGGGCGGCGGGACCGGCGTGGAGACCGTACTGGTGCTGATGTCCCCGATGATGTGCAAGGCCTCCTTCAGAGCATGGTACATCCGCAGCATGTCGTCCCTCCTCTGCGCCTGGTCGGCTGACTCCTCCATCAGGCTGTTCTGGTCTGCGGAGGAGTACAGGTAGGCCAGCAGCTCCGAGTGGATGAAATCCTTGGTCTGCAGAGATGGGAGCAAGGGAACCAACATGCAGGCGGCAGTTAGTTAGAGCAGGGAAAGCCGGGAGTCAGGTCTCCTGGTGTTATTCTAAGCCACTGTCACTGGATTGCTGTAGCAGTCTGGGACAAAGCCAGGAATCACACTCTGGCCTTACATGCTTTACCCCTTGATTTTGGTAAGGCAGGGAGTTAAGGACCAAAGGGTCATTAAAATACAGAATTAAAATATCTCAGCACGGGAGTATCTGGTGCAACTGATCTTACCCCTGGTGCTGAAAGGAGTCGTGTCCCCAGTGATAAGCCCAGAGGTTTCCCCCCCTCTAACGAACAAGCCATGGCGAGGACAACGCAGCCCCAGGTGCAACCCACTCACATTGTTTATCATGAGGTGCATTATGGTCTTTGGCATGAGGTCCCGGATGGACTTGTTGATGATTCCCACGTAGGAGTCGACAAGGTTGCGGATGGTCTCCACCTGGCGCTCCAGCTGCGGGTCCATGGAGAAGGTGTTCTCTTGGGCCCCATCCTCATTCTCCACCTGCTCGAGGAAAGCGGGTCAGTCACTCGGGGATTCTGCAGATGCCCAGGTTGGAGCTGTGGGCAGTGTCCCCCTTAAGAATTGGTGAGCGCATCACATGCATTGATTGCTCCTGTGCCCATTTCACAGAACTTCCCAGTTCATCATCTAGTATTTAGTATCAGAGGGGGTAGCCGTGTTCGTCTGTATCCACAAAAACAACGAGGAGTCCGGTGGCATCTTAAAGACTAACAGATTTATTTGGGCCTAAGCTTTCGTGGGTTAAAAACTCCCCTTCTTCAGATGCATGGAGTGAGAATTACAGATGTATATTTATAATTTACAGATGCAGGCATAAATACTAAGTATATTTATGCCTACATCTGAAGAAGTGGGTTTTACCCACGAAAGCTTAGGCCCAAATAAATCTGTTAGTCTTTAAGATGCCACCGGACTCCTCGTTGTTTTCATCTAGTATTTGGACTGCAGTAGCATCCTGAGGGCCCCATTGGGTAAGGTGCTCTACGTACCCACCCCCACCCAGAGAGCTCAGTTTGGGGCGTGACTAGCAAGTTCAGGTGCCCAGCTTGGCCCTATAAACAGGCCTGATTTTCAGAGGGAGGGAGTTCATTTCGCAAAGGTCAGGCCCCGTTAAGGGGGTCTTAAACGAGGCACCCCAAAAGACCCACACATCGCTTTTGACAACCTTGGCCTTCATCCTCCTCTCTGCAGAGCAGAGGCTGCCACCACGGGGATGAACTGCCGACGAGAGGGAAAGGAGGTACGTCTGCCGTTGGCAAGGAGACATGGTGGTATGGGAGAGGCTGTGGGCTTATGGACTGGGACTCCGGTTCTAAACCCAGTTCTGCCACTAACTTACTGGGTGAACCCGGCCAAGTCACTTGACCTCTGTGTCCCCGCGCCCTCTGACTGGCCTGTTCAGACTGGAATCTCTTTGCAGCCTGGAGCTTTTACAGCGTTTAAGGCCAGAAGGGACCATTCGATCACCTAGCCCAGCCTCTGGGATAGCACAGGCCAGAGAATTTCCCCAGTTATTCCAGTCACTTGTGTTTGGCTAAAGCAGGGGTCTCAAACACACGGCCCGCGGAGTTCTTTGCTGCAGCCCGCCAAGCTCCCTGCGGCCCCCCCTCCGAGTTATTTCCTGCGGCCGCCAAGCTCCCCTCACTGCCGCGCCCCCCCCCTTTCTCCCCAGCGCGCCGCGTTCCCGCTCCTCTGCCTACCTCCAGGTGCTTCCCGCTGCCAAACAGCTGTTTGGCAGCACTTAGCACCTTCCAGGAGGAAGGGGGAGGAGGCGGGGCAGGGGTGGGGATTTGGGGAAGGGGTTGGAATAGGGGCAGGGAGAGGGGTGGAGTTGGGATGGGGACTTTGGGGAAGGGGTTGGAATGGGGCCTCATGGAAGGGGTGGAGTGGGAGCAGGACTGGGGGCAGCAGCGTGTGCGCGCGTGTGTCCATCTGTCGTGGTCATTTGGGTTTGAGATCCCCGGGCTAAAGCATCATCCAGGCTGGATCTGCAGCTATCACGAGGGGGAGAGTTCACCTCCTCCAAGGTTAACCACTCTTCCTAGGCCTCTGTGCACTGGCCTAATCTCTGCTAGGGCCTCTAGGTATTACCGGAATACACCCAATACTGGACAAGCCAGAGTGGGGAGCCTATGCTAGGAGTCAATTTTTGACACTCCTGTACTTGCAGCTGCTGGCAGCCCCCACACTGGCCCCCCCAGCGGGCACCCCCAGCCAGTTCCAGGACATCATCAAGGAAAAGGGAATGTTTACTTGGTCTTTCTCTGGATAAACACCAGCCCGGAGGAAGGAGGCTTTCCAGCTGTCCACATCTTCCTGGGAGTCACAGGCCAGTTCAATCTGACGGAGATCTTTATACACATTCCTAGGCACGCAGAAACGGCGGGGGTATAATCAGAGGAAAGGAATTCCACAGTCATGGCCTGGTGGGCCATCTCTATTGTTGGCCTAGACCAGGCTGCCCAAGGCCACTGACAGAATCCACCATCCCAGCTGGTACATGCAGGAGCCCTTTCCTACAGGGCTCGGTGCTAACGCAAGGCCTCGGACTGGGAAGTCTGAAATCCCTTCAGAAAGCCTCTGTAAATATTGGCAGCTTTTCCTTCCTCCTGGGATAATCCTCATTAGATCACAGCTGCTCCCACCTCCCACACGCCACCCCCTGGGCAGGCTCCCCCTGGCTAAGCCTGGCGCGCCACCTGTCTCAGGATGAGCGTCCACCACCCCAAACGGAGTCAGAGTCGAATTAACCAGTACGGCAAGTGATCCGAGCGTTGCCAAGCACAGAAGGGCTTGGGCAGCCTTTTTCAGAGTGTGGGGCGCTAGCCCAAAAAACTAACTCTCCCAAGCGGCTGCTTTAATTGGAGGGGAAGGGAAAGTTTCTCGTCGTCATAGTTGCAAAGGAAGCCTCCAAAGCACAACCAATGCAGCAATAAGGACCCGAGTTTGAGAGAGCCTGAAACAATTGCTGGAGAGGGACGAGTTGTCCCATTCACCAGCGATGACTGTTAACAGTCTTGATCTTTGGAATACCAAGAGCACATAAGCCGGGTGCCCAGCTGTTTGGGACAAGGCCTCCCCTCGTGGTGGGGCTAAAGGGTAGGCGGCATAATCGCTTGTTTTCCTGACGGGTTCAGCTTTCAGGAGCCTGGGAAACACTGTCAAAGCTCCCTCAGGGTCTGTCTCCACATCCCCTACCTTTGCTCCGTGTTGAAGATGGCAAAGACGTGTTTGTTAGACATGAAGCCCTTCTCCACGTCCCGGATTTTCAGATTATCCAAGGGCAACATGTATTTCTTCTCCTTTTCCTGGAAGGGGGAAAAAGGACAGGAATGAGCGTGAGCTGGGCAGCGTTTCCTCCCCAGTCTAATTACTCTCCGACATCCATCCCGTGGCACATAGTGAAGTTGAGCCCCTCGACCGAGTGGACCAGGTTTTTCCTCCACCTCACAGCAAACCTTGTTTGAGGCACAGACTCATTTCAGCCGAGCTACTATGTTTGTTCATAGGAACTGCCAGTCCAGGGGCCCCATCGAGTCCAGTATCTGGACTCTGACAGAGGCCAGTACCAGCTGCTTTCAGAACCACCACTGTTCAGGAGACGGTGATGGGATAACTTGCCTCCAGGGACAGTTCCCACCTAACCTCAAATAGTTTGGAAACCTTGACGCTTCACATCCACCGAAGTGCAGGGACACAGCTCTGCAATGCAGTGCTCTCTAGATCCAGGCTGACAGTCCCCAGCCCAGGAGTCTAAATTATTAACCACAGACTAAAAATGTCATGCAGATACTTCTCCACACGGTCCTAAGGGCCCCGGGCTTGCTTAGTTTCAACATAAATGTTACCTTTCTCTAAGGAGGTGCTAGAACAGAAACGACGTTTGTCGAGAGGGGGATCCGGTCCCCTACAGGCCCCATGGGTAGTACTGGGCCTTTATGCCAGTTGCAGCACAGCTGCAATGCAAAATGGGTTTACAACAGCCGTAGGAGGGCTGGGCAGCCTAATGGAACGTAGGCGAGTGCCCTCCGAGTCCATGCGTCTCTCCCACTCCCCTTCCAGGAGAGCGGGAGAAGCGGTTTTAGGAATCTGGCACAAAGGACACTGCTTATTTAACAGGCTGCAGGCCAGTGAAGTGAGGGGCCACCCAACTGAGTCACACAAGCCGTCTTGCTGCCGAAACGCCACATCTGGAATTGTTTATAACTCCAACTGCCCTGTGTCTCCAGATGCTGCGCGCACACAGCCCCAAAAGTGACGTTCTCCTTTGTAGAGAGGCCACGAACCTAAACCCTCCCCCCACAGCCACCGCCACCCCCCCACCCCTCCGTATGATTTCCTGAAAAACCCACAACTTTTTTCCAGACTGGATTTGGTTGCAGGCTTTGCCACGTCAGACAAGACAAAGCGGATCCTTTTCACTGAACAGCTTCTCTTATAAAAAGCTAGGAGGGGGGAAAAAAAAGGGAAAAAAAAGACAACCCACAACACACATGGATGCCATGGGAGGTTTGAAACCGATTCCAGCCCAGCCTGCCCAGTGTTCAGACTACCTGTTCAGGAGGCTATCAAGGTGTACAGTAGTCTGCACATTGGTTAGATTGGGTTTGGTAAAGCAGCACCCAGGAGCAGCTCAGCGGACCCAGGTAAGGCAGGCAACGGATGCAGCTGTTCGAGGCTTCGCTTGCCCTCATTTTATCGTAAGCCTTGGAGCAAATGTTTATCGTTCACTGTTCTGATCAGCTAGAATTAACCAGGGGCAGGAGTTCCTATGGCTGCTCCAGTCACAGATGGGTTAGTCAGATCGATGTTTAAACCCATGTTGCTTTATGGCTCCATATTTAATACGCTTTCCCTCGCATTTGCCTAGACCAGGGCTTTTAAAAAAGTGCTTTTCCAGCGCCAGCAGCTGCTGGGGGTTTCTGGAAATTCTCTGCAAGCAGCAGCTCATTTCTAGTGGCATGGGGGGTAGGCAATTTGTGCCTGCTGAATACAGAGCCTCATTCATCTGCAGCCTGCTGGTTCTCATTACCCACAGCAGAGGGGCCAGACAAGCGCCCCCAGAGAGGCCTCCCCACAGGAAACGGGCTGCCTGGGATGGGGGTAGGGGAATAGGCTAGAATGAAATGTATCAGTTCTACATGTTTCCTTCTCGGTTAGGAGGTAGCTTTAAGGTTTTTTAACCTATCTAGATTTACAGCCTCTCTGTGAGGAGAGGTTAATCTTTGCAGCTTGCTTGGAAGATAAAGGACAAGAACAAAGAACGTCTGGGTCTTCCTTGGATAAGGGGGCTGCCTCCTGGAGCTGCTGTTAAACTGTACAGCGAGACGGGGAAATAAAGTTCTGTTAACATCTCCTTTTCTGAGCAGCATGTTCACAGAAACGAGAGCCCCCCGCTCACAATCTCTCTCCACCCAGCCCTGCACCAACACCAAGCCACTGGAGCCTGGCTGCGAGACGGGTGACATGGGGAGGGAAAATATCAGTTTTTCAGACTGTGGGGGTGGAAGTGCTGGAAAACGTGAGTGCGGTGTCTCTGTTCCAGACACCGGGGAGTGGTGCTTAGAAGGGACGCTGCCTCTGCTGCTTCCAGCCCCTGCAGTTGACAGGAGCACAGGCTAGGATATGACAGATACCCCTTCTGTTCGGAGCTCTGGCCCGATCTCCCCAGCCAAGAGGGCTAAGCCCAAAGAGGCACCAGCTTTCACCAAGACCTGTCAGACTTGTGTAATGAATTTAAATTTCCAGGCAGAAGCAGGGGACTATGGGGACTGATCCAGTGAGTGTTAGGGAAGCAGCATGGCGTAGTGGCCAGAGTACTGGCTGGAGACTCAGGACATCTGGGTTCTATTCCCAGCACTGCCACTGGCCTGCTGGGTGACTGTAGGCAAGTCACTTCCCTCCCTGTGCCTCAGTTTGCCCATCTGTACAATGGGGCCAGTGATCCTGACCTCTGAAAAGCACTAGGTAAGAGCCAGGTGTTCTCCAGTAACAATTCCCTGCATCCAGTTGGCTGAGGGGCCCCCCAGGTTGCATGACAACGTGGCAATTTTGTGCCCCCACAGTAGTGATGCAAATCCCTCTGATCTGACAGGCTACTGCATTCTGAACACCCCAGCTGCCTGCCCACACCACACATGGCCATCTCCGCTTCCGAATGCCACTATCCCTTCCTCCAGGGACCAGGAGAGACACAACGAACAGCCTCGAGTTCAGTGGATCTGGCGCGCCAGTGGCCACCTTTGTTGAGGGCACCCGGCTAGCCAATGGCCAGCTACTGCCAAGCCCAGATCACGTTTGTCTAAGCCTGAAGGCTCTCCCTGTCCACTCAAATAACCACATGCGGGAGGCACGCGGTGCCACCTCAGCACGGGGTTACTAACCCAGCAAGAACCTCCTGAGTGCCTGCGGAGAGGATGCTGCCAAGGGTGAATTGTCAGACACTGCCCCAGCATAGAATACTCGGAGCACTCCCAACTCCCACGAGACTGCGAAGCCCCACAAGACTGCAATGAATGCCGAGAGGTTTGACTTTAGCAGACAGCCCCAGGACACACTGCTATGAAGCGTGTCAGACCCACACTCGCCAGCTAGCGGCTTCTCTTAGGTTAAGGCTAAACCCCTACAATGAAGCGGATTCCCCCACTGATTTTTACTTGGGGAAATTCACTCCACCTCCCGTACCTTTCTGGCTCTCACGCACCGGCACAGCCCTGCAATGTTTAAACCCAAATGACTGTTCCACAGACGCTGGTTATTAAAAAGCCTCCTAACTCTCTCTGAACGACTCTGCAGTGTCCCTAGCTGCAATGGCCGGGAGAATTCTGGATCTTGGGTGATTGCAATTTCCCTTGGTTAGGACGCGCGTGCACACACGGGGTTTGAACCGCGGAGAGTTCCCTATGAGCTCAGGACCCCTTCGAGTCTGAAATCTTGTGTATTTCAGTGTATGGTGGTTCAGTGGAGATGAGGGGGGCCCTGTTCTCTCTACTAGCCAAGGGGTTAATGATTTTGGAAGCTTCTTGCAATGCTGGTTACATCAGACAAAAACCACCAAGACAATGGGGTAGAGCCCTGGTTATGAGGAACTATTTGGCACTTGCAGTCATCCCTGTGTGAGATACGCTGCCCCCACTAGACCAAGGCAGCTGCCTCTTGTAGGAGTCCCACTAGCTCCACTTCTTATCTGCTGTTTACACAACTGACAGCTCCCTGGGAGTGTCTGGAGGCATGGAATGTGCTGGCTGGGACCCTGCTGATTCAGAATGGCTGCCCATACAGTGACAAGAAGTCTGGGTCTTATTCCTGTGTGCACTTTAGCACACAGGGAGATGGCCGGGCATCACTGACAGCCCAGCGGGGTCGTCAGCAGAACCTCCCATGGATTCAAACCCAGCAAAGCAAGCCAACACACAAACCAGCCGCCTTCGGGCCCAGCGCAAGTCCATACTCCGGCTATTCCTGAGGGGAGTCAGCCAAACTTTACCACACTGGATTCAGGAGAAGGGTATGAGCCAAAGCATCTTTTGGGACTAGCCCATGCGCCCTCAGTTTCACGGGCAGCTGAATTTGGTAACTCCCTGCCCTGTCAATCCCACATGCCCCCACCGCAGCCTGGGTCCTGTGGCCATGCCCACCACCTTGCTCAGAGAGCAACAACCGGGTTCTAAAGCGAGGGCAGGAAAGCAGTTACTGGTAACAGCCCCAGAAGCTCACAATGAACACAGAGAATTGACTTTAGCAGTCAGCCCCAGGACATGCCCACACTCACGATCGGCAACGGTGACAAACTCCCGGGGAAGTGGCCTCTCAGTCATGTTCTTCTAGACATTCCCATAATGCAGCTAGAATTCAAGGGTTTGAATTCCAGGGCTGGTCCGCCCCCCCCCCCCGGGGTTTCTGTAGTGATGCTGCAAGTCAACCCAACAGGTTTCACCAGTAGCAGTTTAATCACAGAATATCGGGGTTGGAAGGGACCTCAGGAGGTCTTCTAGTCCAGCCCCCTTAATGAGCTGCTCCTGGTGGTGAAGTGGCACAAGAACATTCACTACGTGCAGAGCGGCAAGGCAGAATGCCCCAAGCCATATGCTGATCACAAGCACCACCTTTTACGGTCACCAACCAAGCCAATACGCACCTCCTCATCTTTGTACCAGGACAAAGACTCTGCCGTCAGCACGAACCAGTACTCCTTGGAGCCTCCTTTCATTATGCTGATGTTGTTAATCGTCAGCCAGCCCCTGCGGATTACCTGGAGGAAACAAGAGGAGTGGGAAAACGATGGGGCAGGGGAGAGAATAGGTTACAGGCTAGCCTGGAATCCTTATATTCTGGCCACCCTCTCAACTTTAAGCTGCCTAGAGCAGAGAGGGGTTTGGGGCTTTCAGACTCCTAACATGCTGCTCATCATTAACCTGGGCCCTACTTTCCTTCGGAGTCTCGGCAGGAGAGTTTGTGGGTAGCGTCTGCCCCATGAAAACCTACCAGTGCTAGGCACGGAAGCAGCCCCATTCCTCAGAGGGAGCCTGGCACATTTTTCCAGCAAGGAGCCCAAAGCGGGTTTTACCAAGAATAATAGGACAGGGGTGTACAGCAAGACAAAGACAGCTGGCTTATCCCATGGTGCTTCTGCCAGCCGTCACCAACGGCCTGGGGCACAGAAATGCAGAGCAGATGCTCTCAAATCCACCTGGTCATCGCTACTGCGGTATTATGGAGGGGAAGGGAGGGGAGTCTGAGGCCACAGTTTATAGGCTACCCGGGTGCTACCCATCCAAGGGACCAAAGAGCTTTCTGGAAACAAGCCAACCTTAAGGAGCCAGGGCACGGACCCCCTGAATAGCCAGTCCAGGAGCGAGGATATTTGTTCTCCTCATCCCCTTCAGAGCAGGAAGTGAGTCCACACAACCTTGGGCCCCCTTTGAGAATGGCCAGGACAACACTATAGCTAGTTTGAACAGGGGGGCGAGCGACTCCCCTCCCTCCATTCTTCCGCTCCCCAAGCTGCATTCGCTCAGAGCAGGAAGTACATCCGGCTTCCTTCAAGGCTGCCCTGGACTTGCCACTAGAAAGCCTGTGAAACCATCCCTCCTGCATGGCCTTGGGAAAGACTGGGCCTCCCCAAGCCAGTGCTGAGTGACACGCATAGGACGGCAGCAGCGGAACGGGAGCCGGGGCCAGCGGCCAGCCACGGGGAAGCAGTACTGCCCAAGCCCAGCTTCGCAAGCAGCACGTGACGAGACGAGGAGGAAGCACTGCACTGTCTGGAGGCTCGCACAGCAGCTGGCTTTTCCAGGGGAGGCAGAAGCGTTTCCCGTCACACGATGAGCAAACCGAGGCCAGCGTGACTCAGACCCCTCTTACGTAGGGCTGGAAGGGACCTTCTAGGTCATCTGCTAGCAGAGCCGCCCTGCCATATAACCCTCTTCATACACTTCTCTTGATCATAATTTTGACCGGAAGGGGACCACTGCTGGCCAACATCCTCGCCCCACGCAGCATGAGGAGCGTGTACCATCAACTCTACTGATGAGGCTCTTGATAAAAACTCAGGCCCTGTTCTCTCCCCTTTGTCTTTCCACTGAGGAGAGCGTATCTGGAGAGCTCCTCAAAGAACAACCCGAGTCTCAGCTGCTAGAATCCCAGTGCTCAGAAATCTAGTAAGCCAAATTCATCCCTGCTCAGCACACAGCTCGCGCCGCTGAAGCCAGGGGAGGATCTGGTCCTAGAACGTGGGTTATTGTCCTGGAGGCAATGGACTTCGGAGAGCAACTCCCAGCAGTGAGTTCCCTAGAACAGCCGATGGTATAAAGAAGTCTCCAGTCTGGAGATTCCAGCGTTTGTCTTTACTATCCCTTGCCTTTGTTGAAGTTTTTCATAACCGATCACCACAAAGGCAAGTCTTGGCAGCCCCTGAGGGGCCACTGAAAATTAGTGTCTGAAACCAGAGAGTCGTCATTAGTCCCACTCTCCAGACAATCCCATTTTGTTTTGTACCAAAAAAGCCTTGGGGCTAAAAAGCGGCTCACTGCTCAGCCAAACAGGGCTAGGCTGTGTCCTGTTACACCGATCTAACTCCAGTGACCGACGGTAGCACTGGAGACCACAATGGAACGGCAGAGCCTGCCCCAAAATACTTGGCGAGGGGAGAATTTTCCGGTGTTTCAAATCAGAAAGGAGTTACTCAGTGCCTTTTGGGCCCCTTCACTGTTGTCGTGCAATAGCTACCGAGAAGAGCACTGCAGGTTACAGCCGAGCTGTCTGAATACAACAGACCCCCTTCCTTTGCCTCTGGAAAGTCTTTCCCTGTCTTGTCCACAGCGTAACAACGTTACCCTACGTTACTTGTAACTCTACCTCAGGGTCTTAAGGTAAAGGACAACTGTGAAAGCCAATGACACACAACTGGCCCAGCCCAAAGACTATAGCACACGGATACCGGATGCTAGTCTTCTGCTAGTCCTTTTTGTCTGCATGACCCATTTCCGGATGCCAAGGGGACCCAATCACTCAAGCCTGGATTTTAATTTCCATTAGATCAGGCCAAACGGCCTTTATCAGCTCTCTGAACATTAAGGTTACCCAGATGCCAGTGAATCTTCGATTTCTGGCCTGCTGAACAACCCAGGGTGGAGGATTGTCCGGGAAGCCACTTACGATGAACAGCAAAACCAATGCGAGTGAGTATGAGAAGCCTGCTATGAACAGCCATTTAACAAGCATCAGATCCTATAGCAACACCACAGGGTTGGTAAACCCAGAAGAGATTACAGCCTGGAGAACTGTTCTCTGGCCCAACATCCAATTGTTACAATATCCCAAGAATTGGGCTTTAATACCTTCTTTTGGAGCACATTCTACTTTGCTACCCCGCCTCTTTTAAAGAGCTCACAATAGGATTGATGATCACTTAGTGCCTAGGCCGTGCACTTCCAGCGAAACAGACTCCATAGCAGTCGGGCGTAGGCCTGGACTAAAGGCATCCACAGGGACTACATTTAGAGGGGCCGAGACCCTTCGACTGTCCAAGTAGGGTTGATCACAGGAACATCGAGGGCTACGGTCACTCTACCCAAGTGCTCTGCACATGTTAGCATCACCCTCCCGGTTAGTAATGCACAGACACGAAGGAAAAAGCTTTCAGCACGTGTCTAGGGGGTTGTCTTAAATCAGTCCAACGGATGGATTGGAGGGGGGGGGGGTAAGTGACCCACATGGTTATGTGGAGAAGAGTTAAACACGCTAGATCTCGGAATTTCTTTGCTATCGCTTATCTAGGAGCCACCTGTCAGCAGCAGTGATACGAGCACCAAGAATTTGGAGCTGAGAATCTGACTAGGGCAGGACTTTAGTTCATATTAGCTTCTAGCGCCAGGATTAGGGTGTGAAGCAAGAGAAGCCATCAATTTCATGCCACGAGTGTTCCAGATGTTGCTTGGGAACCATTGTCAAGGGAATCACACTAAGGTTCTTCTCATTGTCAATGCTGCTCAGGTGGCTACCAACATAAAAGCCACAACAAAGGCAAACATGTTACACACACACAAAGCTCAGTGCGTCGGCAGGCACAGGCTGCTAGAGCTAAAACTTAACTCATACAGATTTTCTGGCGGAGGGAAGGAAGGAGCCCTGAAATTGAGATGGCAAAAAGGAAAGCAGGTTAAAAGATTTCACCCCTTAGATTCGCTCCCTTTTAGGTTCTCTTTTAAATTTGAGATTCTGATTCCCATTTACACAAATCGGAATTTGAAGTGAATTTGGTTTTAAAGGACCAGAGGCAGAAGAGTGGAAGCAGGGCGTCTGACAGGTAGAGAGCATTAGAACGGAGTTGGCTTGTAGGCACAGCGCAGAGAGACAGGGCTTGGGTTGGTGGATTAGTGGCAAAGCCAGACGCTTACACCTGGCCTCCTGGGAAGGCAACGATCAGCACTGGGGAAGGATAGAGACAGCTGTTTCGGGGCTGGGTGGGAGAGCTGTGGCAGCAGAGGCCCAGATGTTAAGGGATCAATTACGTAGCATGGAGCTAAGAGACGTTTTAGCAGAAAGGAAGGATTTACTCCTGGGAGCCAGAAATGCCCTGTTCTAATCTCAGCTCTGGCACGGACTAGCTGGGAGGCCCAGGGCACCTCTCTTGCCCTGACAAACGGGCAAAGTGAGGCACCGTTACCAAGCCAGCTCCCAGGAAGGTGGAGCAGATTAGCTCATTTGTACAGTATTCTAGTCACAGAAGCAGCCCAGTAGAACACCCAGAAGGAGAGTCCTTTAAAGACTGAATACTTCCCCTTCATTGATGAGTGAGACCCTACCAGGGAGCACGCGAAGCACATTTCTGGGACTGGCACCGCAGGCGGGATCCCTCTGCAGAGATGGACCGGAGCATGTAAATTCAGCTCTCTTGCCTCCAGCTTTGCACCGCTCCAAGTCAGAAGCAGCCCAGTAGGATTGGCAGCTTACGTCCAGGATAGTCAGATCTCCACCTTCCCATCACCGCATTACAATCTGCATTCTTACAGCCAGCGATGGAGGACCAGCCTTGAGGGGACCGAATTGGAAACATGGGAGGCAACAGACAGGCCTTCCGGAGGATTCACTTAGTGCTTTGGAAAGGTCCATGAGACGCCACAAGAAAATGGAAGCAGCACAACTCTGGGAAACTTACAAGATGGCTACTGATGGCTGAGATAGAGGCTTGTAAGTTTCCAAAAGTAGGGAGGAGTCAAGCCGAGATCACTAGAGGGGTACCTGGGCCAGAACCTCAGCTGGGGTAAGTGACTGTAGCTCCAATGACTAATGGGGCAATACCATTTATGCCATCTTCGTGTGGGCAGACTGCCCCAGGGACGGCATGAATGGGCACTGACTCAACCGTGGGAGGGGTTGGTTTGTCTCATCAGTGACCCCTGCATCAGAACCTGCCTTCTTGCCCCTTGCCTGGGACTGGTGCCTTGCAAAATGCCACTAGCCCAGGAGGATGGTTGATGGCAAGCAACGCATTCCTGATGCCGGAGCTGCTGAGGCTTTCGCTGGGCTCATTAGATGCTTCTCTCCTGGGAGCCTGGACCTGCAGATGGTTCAGGGTCCCCTTGGTTTATTTGCCATCTTTAGTGGCAGCTCCACGCAATTCCTTGCTAGCTTTCTGTGTTGTACACTGAGCCACTACAAACTGGAAGGGGACCCACCCCAGGCTCAAAACAAGCCAGTTAGCAGGGAGATAAGCACTTAAAATCCCCACAGACCAGCAGTTCTCAAACTGCGGCTCAGGACCCCAAAGCAGGTCGCAACCTCATGTTAATGGGGTCGCCAGGGCTGGTTTAGGTTTGCTGGGGCCCAGGGACAAAGCCCAAGGTCTTTAGCCATGGGCATTGGGATTCAGATTACAGACCCCTGCCTGGGACTGAAGCCCTTGGGCTTTGGCTGACCCACCCCCACAGAGCTCCGGCCAGGCCTCAGTCCCCCCTCCTGGGGTCGGGTCATAATTTTTATTGTCGAAAGGGAGTCGCACTGCAATGAAGTTTGAGAACCTCTGCCATAGGCTAAGTGTCCAGAAGCCTCAGTTATTCAGCCCACACCAACATCCAGTGGGTCTCAGCAGTGACAGTGAGGCAAGGAACACAGCTTTCTACTCCCAGCTGTGACAACTCAAGCGAGGCCCTTCCCCTCTGCGCCTCAGTTGCTCCACCACATGAGGGCCAATGCTTAGAAAGCTCTTTGGAGAGAAGTAGTGCCAACCACCCTACTTAGCCAATCCCAGTTCGGACCAGGTCTGCCTCTGAATCCAGCGTCAGGCACGTTTCCAGTCCGCGTGGAAAAGGGGGCTGCTAGCTCCCTATTAAGGTGGTGGTGTTAGAGCTCCTTTTACCTCCATCCCACCACAGCCTCGTGAGGACGTCTGACAGACAGAAGTGGTCTTCTCACGAGCCATTCCTAAGTGGCCTACTGTGTGTCTGTGTACATCTCCAAGGGAACACTGGTGAAAGTACCAGCAGGACCACCCTGACCATGGTTAAAGACTCCTCCAGCCAGAAGCAACATGCATTTCCATTTTCTTGGGCAGTCTGTGAGATTTGAGCCCCAGGTACACACCAGCCAGTTTGCGACCCACCCGCTCCAGAGGGCGCTGGTCGTCCCGAGAAGGCAAATTGGTTTTCATTCAATAGAGACCTCACCCTCCCTTAGAAGCGAATACACTTAAAGGAAAAGCCCTATTTGGCCTGACTGTACAAACAGCTGCAAGTTACTCAGTTCTTCCTTACACAAAAGGAAGGAGCATCTGAGGGGATCTTCCCCAGGGTAGCTGCCTGGGGGCAGACCGCTGTCCGAGAGGGCAGTTTGCACTGGTGCAGGGTTGGGTGCCACCAGCCATTTATGCTAGTGCAGCTACTGCAGGGGGTGGAATGCAGGCAGCTCCCAAGGCCTAAGAATTGGAGGCAGCAGCGCTGTCAGCCAGCCCCTAAGAGACCTGCCCCCACCCAGCCAATCTGGCTCCCTGGGTTTACCCACACTTCCTCCAATTCATGCTCTGCTTCCCATGAGACCCATAGGACTGGAAGGGACCTTGAGAGGAATCTAATCCAGTCTCCTGCACTCAAGGCAGGGCTAAGTATTATCTAGACCAGTGGTATTCAAAGCCGGTCTGCTGCTTGTTCAGGGAAAGCCCCATGGCGGGCCAGGCTGGTTTGTTTACCTGCCGTGTCCGCAGGTTCGGCCAATCGCGGCTCCCATTGGCCACGGTTCGCCGCTCCTGGCCAATGGGGGCCGCGGGAAGCGGCGTGGGCCGAGGGATGTGCTGGCCGCCCTTCCCGCAGCCCCCATTGGCCGGGAGCGGCAAACCGTGGCCAGTGGGAGCCGCGATTGGCCGAACCTGCGGACACGGCAGGTAAACAAACCAACCAGGCCCGCCAGGGGCTTTCCCTAAACAAGCGGCGGACCAGCTTTGAGAACCACTGATATAGACCATCCCTGACAGGTTTTTGTCTAACCTGCTCTGAAAAATATCCAATGACAGATTCCACAACCTCCCTGGGCAATTTATTCCACTGTTTAACCACCCTGACAGGTAGGAAACCTAAACCGCCCTTGCTACAATTTAAGCCCATTGCCTCTTGTCCTATCCTCAGAGGGCAGAAAGTCCCCCTAATGCAATGTACTCCAGCCATACCCTTTCCCCCTAAATGCCCCTGGAAGCATGGAAGCAGGCAGATGGAGGGATAAGAGATTGAAGGGGGAATATGATCTCACTACACCTAGCCTAGGTATTTCTATGGCTCGACCCCACCTTCAGGGCATCAACGTCTCAGTTAAGGGCTGCAGTGTTATGAACGGTGGACTGAGTTGCCCTCTCAGCCCAAGGCTGTTGGATCTGTCCAGAGCAGATAGGAGAGGGGGTTTCAGGTGATAAACAGGCATTTCAGCCTCCGGGGCTGTCTGTGCCCCCCACCCCACACCTGTCTCTCTCCCCACAATATGCCAGGAGGAGTCCAGTAGTTTTTAAGTCAGATCAGGCGATCCCACAAGGTTTCCCTCTGCAGAGAAGGATCCTAACAAAGCCACACTGCTCCATTTGGAAGGTGCCTGCTTTTCTAGACAGTAAGTGTACTCGGTTTTAAGAAGAGAGGTGCCACTTTCTCAGATTTGTGGGTGTGTGTTTGTTTTTTTTGTTTTTTTTTTAAAAGGGGTGTCTCCATCACTAGGCTTCATCTATGGTTCACTATCACACTATATGGGTACTTACCAATATCTCACCCTTTATGTGCGCAAAATTAGGATTGCGGGTAAAAAGGAAAAAAATGGACGAGGAGACAGAACAGTGAGGAAAACAAAGTGATGGAGGGGGAAGAAGAAGCAGGAAGCACAAAAATGATAGAAAAAAAAGCAGAAAAAACAGCAAAAGAAAACAGTTACATGCTATTAATTATATTTATACAGTGTTAATGTCTCATTACTGTGTTTCCAAACAAGAAGCAAATGTCCGTATGCGTTCCATACGGCAAGACTGATACCATGCAATGGGGACATTTCTAATCCTGTTCTCAAGTCATGCAAACTAAACAGCAATACACTCAGACCTGGAAGGCTGTGTGGAGAGAGAGAATCAAGGTTTAACTTCGCTCCCTGGTACTTTCTGATGCTAGCCTTCCCCACGCCCATCCCCTGCTAGACAGCTGGCTTGTAAGAAGATGGGGCACATATTTTACACATGCCCTCGGGTGCGGTTTCCACTTGCCTAGACTACCTGTTACCTAGGAAGGGTTCATATGTGAAGCTCTATTACCCTGAGAATGGATGCAGGTGGGCAGCATTTGGAGGTTCTATGCCTTGCAGCATATACCTGTATTGTGTGTCTGCAAATACATAGGGTAAAATAGAAACCCCTGCACCTTCAGACAGGGGGATAGTGCGGCAACTGGTCTGAATTCAGCTCTCCAGAGACTTCTGAGACTGCAAAATGCAGCTCTAGAATTGTACCGAATAGGGTTACATGGCTTCAAGTGGGACCCAAACATCCTCCGCCACGTCTGCCTATGCTACCAAGAGAGATGCAGTTATTAAACTGGTGTGTGGTACCTGATTTGGGATGGCTCTTTTCTTGTTCAGCTGGGTGTTCCTCTGCTGGGCACTGAAATCAAAAAAAGCAAACCAGCTTCACATTGACAGCACAAGGTGCCCGATAAACACTCAGCTACTGAGACCCAGCTTTCGCTGGCTATCGGCTACACCAGCCGTTCGCTTGCAAGGCACTACTTAGCACACTTGGTTAAGGCAGCCAGCGAGGAGAGGAGCGGACTAGGGAAATGCCTAGTCCTGGGGGGGTAAGGCCTGCTGGATGGAACACAACCCGACAGTCTCTTTTGATGGCATCTGAGGCTATCCGGGCTCTCCACTAACGGCCAATTGAACTGGAGAGGCTAGGAGAGGTCTGAAGTGTTCTGTTTATCAGCTGCACAAGCCAGCAGCGCTCACGGGGCACTAGGGGGCTTTCAGAGCAGTGCAGCTAGGGATCCTCCAGGTCAGAGCATCTGGCTGATTCACTCTAGTACAACGCTCCCTCCCGGGCGTCCGGCAGCGACAGACTACAGCTCGTTGTGGAGGAAGCGTCACACGTTAGCTGTATTTGGCCACTAGCAGGGCAAGAGGATAAAGAATTCATGGCCTTGGTTAGTGAACCCAGCCATGCTCGGGCTATGCCCAACACCATGGTATCCAAGGGGGTAGGTAGGTTGAACATTTCTGCTCTGTATTCGATATCCGAGATGTATCTACAGTCCTTTTGCTCCCCACGCTGGCATGGGGCATGCCTGGGGGGTGCTGCCCAGAGCTCCACAGCTAATCAAAGAGCCCAAGGCTGTAGTGGCAGGCAGGAGTTTGCTGGGGCAGCGGGGTTTGAAGGAGAGTAGCAGATGGCCAGGGGAAATCCAAGGGTGTCTGTGCGCGGCGACACTTGCAGTGAAGTTGGGTGCAACTGACTAGACTCTGGACGTGCTCCTGAAGGCTACAGGAGTAACTGACTCACAGTTGCTCCCTCACAGGCTGGGAGGCAGGACTGTTTGTCAAATGCTCAGCATCGCTCCATGAGGCGCTCAGGCTCTGCCGAACTTAATCAGCAGTCACAAGGCTGTTCAGCTACTACAAGCGCATCCTTCGGCGCTGCTGAAGGTAAAGGCAAGCAGGAGTCCGTTCCCACGTCACCCAATTACATACGGTTTCCGACAGGTACCCACCCTGCTGTCAAGTGCTGCTCAGTGTAACAGCTGGGGGTGTTAGAGAAGGTTCAGGAGAGTCCAGAGGAAAGAGTGAGGTGGTTCAAAGGAAAAACAGGAAAAATTATGAGAGGAAGGAACTGTGAATGAAGTGTGAAAAGCAGAGACTTAAAGAGGGGGGAAAACCAGAGGAAAACCAGAAATGAATCTGAAGGTGAGAAGGAGCCCTGATCATGCTGCCATAAGACAGCCCTTGGGCTGACTGCATTCACTCAACCAACAAGAGGGCGCTGCCATCCTTGGGGCTTGCCTACATGGGGAGTTGTTCCTGATTAACTCCAGGTATGGATACTCTCACTCCAGATACAGGCATCCACACGGAGTTAATCAGGAAGAGTTAATCCATTTTAAATTTACGCTCTATTTTATTAGGGATTAATTTTCATGTGTAGACAAGTCCTTGGCTCAGTTCTTCCTTTGCTATGGGAGGTTTAGTTCATACCCGCTATATAGTTTGAGACATTAAAAGGTTGTGTCTGCTCCGGTGCACATTTAGAAGATCCCCGTTTCCTTGGCCAAAACACAAGCACCAGTCAGTGAGACTAAGAGACCTACTACCCTTTCCCCTACCCTCTCTCTGGTCTAGTTTCATCTTAAACTCTCTGGGGCATGGATCTTCCACTACTCTGCAGTGCACCCAGCCCAATGGTGCCCTTGACCTTGGTTGGTCCCCAGGCACTACACTCCCTGTCCCCTTCAGGCAAAGGCCTGGAACAAAGGAACTTTACCCACGGCCCTGAAGGCCAGACTCACTTTAGAGAAGCAATGGGAACAGCATATGTGAAGCCAGTGCTGCCCCCCCCGACTGCCCCCAGCCCTGCAGCGTTTGACGCCAGCCCTGCAGCTGTAACAGAGGGAGGCGAAGTCTCAGACATCCACTAAACAGGTTTACAGCTTTCAGGACTGTTCAGCTCCCCGCCCTATGGGCTCCGAGTTGCTGCTCTACCCCCCTTCGATGCTCATTGATTACTTGCAATTAAGTGCCTTGGTTACCTAGAGGGTCCTGCAACCCACACTTCCCAGCTACAGCAGGTAGGCACCTACTTGGCAAATCCAATGAAGTCTTCATGGTTAGTGTTGATATAGGAGAGCTCAATGTCGATCAACAGTAGAATCTGGAAAGACACATACACCCGAGTCAGCTGAACACAGTAACAGGCCTACAATGAAAGTGCCACTTTCAGCACATCAGGCGTCAGCACTGGCCAATCAAAGCTGCTCCCCCGCACCGAGACTTGTCTGGAAAGCCCTACGCGCTGCTGCAGAGATCAACAGCGGTAGCAGAAAGGTGCAATTTGAATTGCTACCAGCAGAGGGTACTGTAGGATTGCTGGTGCCCTGTGTGAGAGGTGTGCTGGGCTCCGAGGATTTGCAAAGTGGAGCAGGATGTTATTTTACCGCATGCTCTGGTTGGAGTGTCAGGTTCTCCCCAAACAGCACTGAGATCAGACACCCTTCTGTCCTGAACGACTCACGTTTTACTTCGCCCTCTAGGCGGATCACAACCCCCAAAGTGCTGGACGCATCGCAGGACAGACATGCTCCCTATATCACAAGAGGAGCTTACCTGGTCCTTTGTTTTTCCTTCCCGTTCCCTGATGTAAGTGGTAACAATCCTCTCCGTCTCCTCTCGTAATCTGGGGTAGGAGCCAAGCTGAAAAGCAGGGAGTAAGAGTGGAAGATCAGATCACGGCAGCCATCACAGTAGCTACAAAAAGCTTGACACAAGAAGCACTCACAAAACTGAAGAGGGCAGGAAAGGACTGGACTAACCCCCAGTTTTGTCGGTAGGACAGAAGTGGGGCTCAGAGGACAGCAAAGAAAAGTCAGTTCTCTGCTGTTTCTGTAGAGATTAGCAGGATCAGCTTCTGGTGGGTCTTAAGTGTGTTTGGCAAATGTACTGTCTCTTTCCCACCCCCCCACCCCCAGATAAGCAGATCCCTGGGCTAATGCTAAGCAAGGTGACCGAAATTCCTTTCCAGAGATACTGGCCCTCAGCTATTTCAGGAGCGTTTTTAGCCTTTGTTGCTATGGTGCGAAGCAACACCTGTGCAATATGTCTCTGCAGGACCCATGCCAGAAAGCCAAGTTAACATTAGGAGTCTAGACTTGCAGGTGTGTCCTTGGCTGAAGTGTTCAGATGTCCATGGACACAGATCCCCACAATGTTAGTTTAATGGTCTCAAACTCACTTTGATCAGCTGGGTCCTGCGAGCCAGTACATTCCAGATGTTCAGATTAGACAGAGGAAGAATTAAGACCAGTTACCTTTTCCGCACACTTTTTAATGACAGTGGCCAGCTCTGAGACCACCAGATCAACACACTTCAAACTGGGCTCTTTGAGTTTTACAATCTGTTTTTTCACTATAGCTTCAAAAGCCATGTCAGGTGTGAAGAGCCCCGTCCTGCCTCATGCAGAGCACAAGAGTGGAAAGAGGAGACACCAAAAGGCACGCAGGGTGGAAAAAACAGCAACAAAGACAGAAAGAAAAGAAAATGAGATTAAAAAAAGGTTAGTAACATGCAAAGGGAAAAGCAGCAGCACTTGCCGCGGGAAATTCCTTCAGTTTCCTCAGATTCATTTTAAAAATACACTTAATTTACTATCAGGTTCTTAATTCACCTTGTTAAATCCTGGACTTCATAAGGATCGGATTCTCACTCACCGGCTCACCACTGCTGTGCCCCTTATGTGATCACGGACACTGGCACAAAGTGACTACAACAGGGGGGGATGATGGTGAATCTTTCCCACCCCCTGGCATTTCCAGGAGCCAAAAGCAGGTGATGGCATCACACCAGAACCTGAGCCCTAACCGTCTTGCTCAACTGGGCCTTGAATAAAGGCGAAGGTCCCTTTGCTTCCCTCCCCCGCCCCCCACCTCCATGCCAAGCTTCAAGTTAGCAGCTGATCTAGTGCCCGGCTAGGCTTCAAGATTGCTGCTGTACCATGGGGAAGGCGACACGGCCTGCTGCCTTCTGATGGCATGGAGCGCCGGTTTCTTTCTTTAGCTGTTTGAGATCGCCACAGCTACAAATCACATGGAAGTTGAGGGCCAGGGGAGGAAGCCAACTGCCACCATTTCCAGATTCCCCAATCTATTGGTTTATTAGGGCTAAACCAGGTGGGTGGTACTTGGTAAAGAGCACTGCTAACACCAGAGAAGCCCGGCTTGAACAAGCTGTTTGGATTTGATCCGGATGCCTGTGGATGCAGACTATCTGCCTAGGAGAACTCGCCTGCACGTTACTCCTGCAAGCTGCCACGCTGACTCACTACAAAGCCGCCTGAGTTTTCCCCGCCATGTTAGCTGGGCCTGAAGGAACTTTGGCAGCAAGTGCTGGCTTTTCCATGTTACACAGATCACTACAATCACAGTAAAACAGCACCACTCCTGATCCAGAAACAAACAGCTCCCTCCTCCCCCCAGGTCCTACAATATGAACCACTGGACGAGTGCTGAAGTTCTCTGCTCAAGCAAGACACTTTGGGAAGCAGGAGCTGGGGGCTATTTCACTTTTCGGAATGGCCTCAAAGTGGCGAAGGGCCTTTTACTACGGACATAAGCACTTGTCTACCAGGCACATCCAGAACTTGACAGACTGGATCCGAGTTGGGGATCCATCTAATCCAGGATCCTGCCTCTGAACAGCTAACTTTTAGAGACGTGAATTTTTTTTTAAGAAATTTCCTCAATCCATTAGTACCAGATCAAGCTACAAAGCAGAGTCGTCCCAAGAAGCTAGTTATTAACTAGGGAAGTGGCTGATTTATCCCGGGCGACTGCGTAGTACCAGGGTAATTAACACTTCCGGAGAGGGAGAAACCTTTCGAAATGGTGCTCGCTATCGAGCACTTCATTCATCACAGGATTTAGAAACAAGCCACAATGAACGTGAAGATCATTTGCTACAATAGCGGCTTCCAGCTTTCGCTCCCAGTCTCCACAGCTTCCCAGAGTGTAGCAAAGCAGCAGGTGAACTCACAGATGGAGAAGACACATGCTAAGACAGGCACCAGAACCCAGGAACAGCCTGCCCACCTGCCTGGCAGACTCCCAAGCGCTCGGAGGCAAAACCCTTGGCAGCTTGTGTTCCAATCTGCCACAGAGCACTGCAGCTGGAGGTCACATGGACAGAGTTTGAGATCCTCCCACGGGGACAGAGCCCAGAGACTTTGTGCGCGTTAGGATGATCATCATCATCATCCCTAGCTCTTACAGAGCACTGCTCATCAGTCGATCTTGAAGTGCTTTACCAAGCACGTCAGTACCGTGACCCCCATTTTACAAACGGGCTATGGAGGCCCAGAGAAGGGGAGTGACACACTCAAGGGTCACCCTGCAGGCCAGCGTCAGAGCTGGGAACAGAACCCCAGTCTGCAGAGTCCCAATTCGGTGCGCTATTCACTAAGCCACACTGAGACCGAGATCCCATGGTGCTGGGCACTGCCTGGATCTTTATCACAACCCAGGGCAGGGACGGTATTCCTCAGAGCTGGGCAATGCCAGCATCTCAGGTGGGACGGAGGCAACCCTCCTTCTCTCTGTCCAGGGCCAGGCATGCCAATCAGGTGAGTGAGGAGGTGTTCACATTAGGTTAGCGAGCAGGCTAGGAGTGAAGAGTCAGTGTGACCGGTTTTGCCTACACACATCCAGCTCTGGGGAGTTTTCCAGGCAGGAGAGGACATTGGCAGCACACGTGCTTTGCCACCCCACTAGTAGGAAGGGGCTGGAGAGGCTCCAGCGGGTTCAATACCTTACTGGTACACTGTCTAACTGTATTGATTAACTCCTGAATAACCAGGTCGACACACTTCAGACAAGGCTCTTTCAGCTTCACCACCTGCTTTTTCACAATGGCCTCGAATGCCAAGTCTGGTGTGAAAAGCCCCGTCCTACAGGCAGCCGCACGCAGGGGTGAGGGAGGGCAGAGACATGGCAAAGAAAAAACAAAATGGGTGAACAGGTTTAAAGGCAACTGTCTGTGACCTGACGAGAGAGCAGCAGAGACATCGACTTCCTCCCCCAGACAGACAGGCCTCGATACCAACAGGACCTTCACTTGGGGATGGGCAGCCGTAATCATCCCATGGAGCAGGGGTGGGTTAAGCCTCCAATCGAGAGCACGATGCTGCTTTGTGACTTAGACGCACACAGCTGCTCTCTAAGGATCGGGAGTCACTGCCTAGTGCAGAGACATTTAAGGCAGTTTTATTGTAGGTCACATCTACGCTGCAAGTGGACGGACAAGGAGCCTTTTCAACCCCATGCAGCATGTCAAGAGCAGAGTAGGCAATTCCGGAGTCAATATTCAGGCAAAGGGAACACAAGTGGGAACAGCCCAGGAAGGCAGACGTGCTCAGAGGAGGAATAAGTTTAAGGGGAGGCCTCTTTGGGAGGATAAACTCAGCCCTGTCAGGCCGAGGGTTCACTAGCTCTCAGAGCTACATCCTCAGTGCAGCATGGACTGAGCATCCGGATTAATCCAAGTGCAGCTCCATCACTGAGCTCAGGCCGTGCCGAATGGATCTTCTTTGACAGCATCCCTGAGCCAGAAGTTCCCAAGCGCAACGGTACAGTAATAACCTGGATCCCTTTTCCTTTACTTGGAAGTTTAGATCTCAAAACACTCCCCACATACTATTTTTTGCCCATCTGGGAAGATGCACAAGGCAATGGAGGAATTCTTTTATCCTTGGATTTCAAGGGACAACAGGAAACAGATCTCACTCCTTCACTAAACTCTACCAGCGAGACTAACAGAGACAACATTTAGAGTTTGCTCTTGGTTCTCAATGGAGACTGCTTCATTAGTGGAGCAGTCACATCCCTACTCCCAGAATCAGAGTTAGATCAAATACTACGCTGTCCAGACCCATGGAAGAAAACTACATCGGCAACGGACCTGTTAAGCATCTAATTCTCTCTACCCATTTCCAATAACGAACTTTGGTTCTAAACACCTTTTGCTTCCACATGACACACAAGCTGGCTGTAGCTGATCAGAACTGACAGCTACATAAGGTTCACGGTACAAGTGTTTATCATAGAATAATGGTACAAACATGACTGAACTGCTCATAGGAAAACAAGACAACCAGCAGGAGTAACAGGCATTAGCCATTAGCCGTTACTGGTGCTAAAGATCGCCGCTCCGATACTTGCCTTATGCCGTGGATGTTTTTAATTGCATAGCTAATTTCTCGCCTCAAGTCCTTTTCATCAAATTCCATCTACAAAAGAAACACGACAGTTAGATTATACAGCAAGGCCCTTCTGGGTTGAAGCACAATCACAGCGCAGGCTTCTCACTCAGACTCACATTTAAACTGCTTTCTCGTACAGCCACAAGAGGCAAACATATGCCTACCTGTTTGTAGCTGTAGACAGCGTACCATTGGCACCAAGTACTTCTGACCTGTAAAGAGACACTGCCCCTCTCCCCCAAGGAGCTTGCCATGTAGGTAAGCAGTGGAAAGGCAGAGTCAAGGAGCACTGAATTACAGCACCCTGTGTGTGACAGAGGTGCAAGTGGGGGTACAGCAGACTGCCTGCCCTCCCATAAGTCCTGATGTTTCTGTTTTATTATGGGGTGTCTGGAGTAGGTAGGTAGAACACCTTTCAGCTGCCCTGCTTTATAAGTCAGAGAGGAGGTTTTGCTCACCTAGAAACATCAGCACCAACTGCTGATCTGCCACATCCCAGGACAGCTAATCCCAAAGACAACATCCCATCCCTCTCTGTCTTGTCAAGAGGAGGAGACAAGCTAGTCTGTGCCCATCTCCCAGCTCTGCTCTGGCAAAGATGCTTATGCCATGCAGCAATGGATGAATGGGAGGAGAGAGGTTCCTAACCAGCTCAGCTGTTTAGCTAAGCAGTAGATCAACCCAACACCAGGGAAGGATGGTCAACAGACCCTTCTGCCGGCTGCCCAGCAAGCCTGAAGACAGGCACACACATTGGAGACACTCCCTCCAGCCCTATGGCTGGCAACCAGTGACATTCTGCTTTGTGTGGAGAGAGAAATCAACACCGCTGGACAGAAGTATTAAAACCAGCATTCGCTTTACCTTCACCAGCTCGAAGGGGAATCTCTCGTGGAAGATGCGATTAATTCTGGCACCACCAGAGAGTTCTAGTGTGTCCACTTGGTCTCCTGAGCCTTCAATTCGCTTCTCAAAGTCCACCCCAAACTGCTGGACCATCCTGCAAAGAACCAGCAGGAGTAACAGGCATTAGCCAAATACGGCAAAGGCTATAACGGACCAGCCATTCAGGCTACGGCCACACTATATTCAGAGCCATGCTAGCCATAATCTCTATTTCATCTGGGCAGGATCATTTGAGAATTCTCTTCTACTTCCATAAAAGCAACAGAGGGTCCTGTGGCACCTTTAAGACTAACAGAAGTATTGGACCATAAACTTTCATGGGTAATGCCCACTTCATCACTTGCGTCTGATGAAGT